AGCTCTTGGTTTAGAAAAGGGACTGAATTACAGTATTTACAGTGCACAGACCCTCACATCCTCCACATGAGCTTGGGAAACCAGTTTCAGCCCTGAGAATGTGGATGGTCGCATGTCTATGCCTTTTTGTGGTCTCATTTAATACCTTTAACTTTGAAATATCCAGAAAGAACTGAGTGTCCACTGGATAGCTGAAATCTAATTAGCAAATTACTGTTGCATCTTAAATTGTTTAAAGTGAGTTAATATTTAAAAAAATTGCTTAGTTTAAGGATTTTTAATCTCTTATTTAAAAGGTTTTAAAAACCTATTTGGAGGATTTATTTTACATATCTCGTAAAGTTTGACCTTTTTTAATACTGTATTTTATCAGTCTTAAGCAATCCCAAGAATAACAACTATACATGGAAAATATTTGGGGAAACTTGTGTGAAAACAGTTTATGTAGTGAAGGTTTCTCTGAGGTTCATCAGTTTTTACAGTGTTATTCTAAAATAGGGGTAACACATTGTAAACTCTTAAAAATATACTTGAACCTCACTCAGGTATAATGTCTTGAAAACCCCACTAAGAATGTTATATACTTATGTGTGGGATATAATTGTGTGTATGAATTTCTATGTATATAGTTAACATTTGATTAGGAACATATAATAGTGATTTAAAAGGCATGCTTTAGAAACAAATTGTTAATATTCCATAAGGCACCAGGTCCATCAATTAAAATATGAGTCAGCCAAGAGGAAGATGGTTTTGATTAAAGTTCATTTAAGAGATCGTATTCATTTATTTTTTATTTTTATTTTATTTTTTATTTTTTGGTCTTTTTGAGACAGGTCTCTCTTAGTCCCAGCTGGCCTGGAACTCACTATGTAGACCAGGCTGGCCTTGAACTCACAGAGATCCACCTGCCTCTGCCTCCAGAGTGCTGGGATTAAAGGCGGGCACCATCACACCCAGCTCAGTGACCAACTTTTAAAAAATCTAATTTGAAAAGCCTCTTGTTTGAGCAAATTTCACTGCCGTGTATTATTTTTAACTTACCCTTAGAGTATCATTTTATATGCTTTTTATAGTCAATATTTGCTCATAATGTCACACAACATTAAAAATGTCTTTAGTCTTGAGAAAATAAAAATAGCTAAAAATGAAAAATTTAGAAGAATACTGATCAGAAAATAGAAATCTGTTGTGGCTTTATGGATTCGCAGTTACAAAGCTGTGAGTGAGGCACTAAGGAAGGCCGTCCGATGTCTGCAGAGCTAGTAAACACCAAATCCCAGGATTAGGTTCTGCATTTCACTTTCCTACTTTATTCTTTTTCTTTAATAATTAGCAAAAATCAAATATTTTCAAGCAAACTTTCCCAAATTAAACAAACCTATAAAGAATCACAGTAGAAAGTATTTTCTAGCATAATCCAAATTAATTAAAATCTCATACATTGTCTGGTGGAGATCATATAACTCACTCTTTTTCTTAATTTTTTGAAAATAAGAGTAGATTAAAAAAATAAACTCAGAAGCCTGGTTATTTATAAATAGATGATGATATATTGCTTATTAAGTGCAAATTATTTTCACTTTATTAGGTAGCACATATTAAAATAATTTCCCTCATGTGATTCTAAGACATTAAGAGCAAAGAAAAACATTTGCTATTTTATTTCCATCTACCATAAACAAATAGATAGTTCAGAATTTCCCAAACCATTTTTTAGAGTACACTGAAATTTATATCAGATTTATGAAATTTTCATATCATTTTGTGTGTCACTTGGACTATTCTTTTGTAACAGAAGTTTCTGACAAAAATTGGTGTATTATGACCTGTCTGAAAATAATGTGCTGGCTTTAAAATTCCTAGTGATGTTTGGGATATGAGATGTGTTTTAAATTATAGTTTTAAATTATAGTTTTGAGGGCAATTCCAATTGAATTTGACTATGTTCTTCATTAATTTTAAGTAGAAATTTACTCAGACGCAAGTCACCTAAAAAAGAAATTCTGATATTCAGTCCTAAACAAAGAATCAAATCAAAGTTTAAAAACGGTTTTCCCAGATCAAACCACATGGTTCAAAGTATTTTATCAAAGTAGCAAATTAGTGGTATGTACTTATCTAGGGTTTTAATACCTAACACAATAACAGCCTTCCATCAATATATGGCTAATTGCAGATATAAAGTATCTGCCGGTAGTCCATCTCTCATAAAACCGCCTTTAGCTTTTATTCAAATCCATTGATTCTTATTCCAGTTAAAGCTGAAGAACTTAATATGTCTTTTAATCCTTTCATTGTAAGCTGGGATAAAATTAATTTTACCCTAGAACTGCACAAAGCCAATTAACATGATCTTTAGAGTTATTTAGTAAAGTGCTTCAAACTGTTAAATTTATCTTGACCTCTCAGTTGCACTCTCTGACTGCTTTTTAAATGAAGTAATCAATATCTCATAGCCCTTTAAATAGCTTTAACTTCTCAAATATTTTACCTGTGCTCTAGTTAAGCTGTAAGCAACGTGTTTACTCCTGTTCCTGTAAATCTGGAGTCAATTATGCTAAATCTAAAGACAATTATGTACTTTTCAGAAGCACTATGAATTAAATGGTTGTTTTTAATAAAATCAAAACCTCACATTGTGTTAAAAGTAACCCAATTGTGAGGAAACATCATTTTTACACAGAACATGTATTCTGTTTGCAACTTCCAATATAGGACATTAATGTCCCTCACCATCTAGTGTTCCTTCTGTTTTCTGCACAGGGCTAGTTGAAGGTATTAATTTTCTTCCTGTGATGGGGTGATCAACCGTCCTGTCAAGAAAATGGATCTCCATGTCACCCTTTAGCATGATTAAATGGAGCCATGTCTCTGTGAAAAAATACCAGATTTTCCTGAAACAAATGAAACTGTAGAAAGGTTTACTTTTGCAGGATTATTTTATTTTTAACATCTCAGAATTTCCTATTTGATTGACAGTTTTCATTTGTAGGAAAGCATTGCAGCTAATTAAAATATTCCTCCTTTTTAGCCGAAAATGCAGGCCAAGCCAATCATGTAAAGATGTAAAGACATTTCCAAATCTGAGAAATTAAAGAGTGAGGACTAGCTGGTATTTTTAGCAGGGTACCAGGGATGTGCCTGAATCTTCTCCATCACCCATCAGTCAGTGTCTCTTTTAGGGCCTTCTCACCTTACTGCTTTCCCTCTTTCCTTTTTCACAAAGAGCTACCATCTTTTCACTTCCAAGTGATTATAAAAATTACGTACCACAGAATTTCAGCATCAGTAATGTTAATAGCTGGCTGGATTACTGTGAGCCCGGGCAAATGCCAAACTTTAAATTACACCAAGTGATGTACTTGACAGCTAATTAAGATTTCATATTTTAGCCACTTAGCAGAGGGCACCTGTTAAAATTCTTTCTATTAGCTTAGGGATAAAATTTACAAATGGCTGTTTGAAAGTTCTTTATTAAACTTGCCTAAAGTCTTAATTCCTTTATGAGGAGTGGGGGTTAAGACAAGATTGAGGTAATTAAACAGAAGGAACATAGAGAAGGTGGGGGTGCGGGTGGAGGGGGAGCTCTCCAAGTGCCCCTGTTGTTTAATTTCCTACTGGAAGCTGGCCATGTGTGCTGCCCTGCCCCTCCCCCTCCAGCCAGGCGTTGCAGAGACTGAGCGGCTGGGGTCAATGCCTTGCCTATTGATCAGTATCCCTGCAGTCCCTTGCTCCAGCAGCTGCTTCATCGGCTTCTTTCAGGGCCTGCTTCAGTACATTAGAATAGAAATCCATAACCAGAGCTGTGCTCATCCAAGCAAGGGAAGAAACTAAATTAAATGGTATAAAACAATCTTGGATCAGGAGTTTGTGCCAATTCATCTTGATCTAAGATGTCACACCGGGCTCTCTGTCTGAGCACCTGGGCTAGAAGCAGCCATAGTGAAAATAGATGGAGCTGCGATCATTCATTTGTCAGCTAAGGAGCAAGGCAGCGGTTAGCAATTCCCTTCTGCAGAGGTCAGCTGACAGAACAATCAGTGCAACTGCAGAATAGAGCTTTCCTTTGAACTATTGTTATGGAGCATGCTCTTGCTGAGCCGTGGGGGCGGGGAGCTGCTTCCTGTTTCCAGAATACTATGTAAAGAGTAAAACATGGTACTCTAGTCCTAGATGTGGTTACACTATGCTCTTACCCTTTATGTCTCTTACTGTATGGAAATAAAGTTGGTTTTAAACGCACCCCCTGAGATATAGATTATCAAACTGTTAAATATCACTTTGTCTAGAATTAAGGTCCTTTGGAACACAGAGGCAGCGATTATTGATTTTGCTTCCTACTATGGTGAAGCTTTTACATGCTTTCTCCCCACTGGAATTACCTTAACTATCACAAATCAGTGTTGTTCTTTGCATCTGTAAGAGCACACACATGCTAATATTTGTAATAAGCATTTATTCTGTCTTCAAAAACCTAGAAAAATTCTGGGAAGTGGGGGAAAAATGCACATTATAGTATTGGATTGGAAAACATTTCTTAGTATTAAATATTTTTAAACATTTATGACTACAGTTTTTATAGGAAATATAATCAATGAAATGTGATTTTACATGACCTTAGGAGTTATAGTCATTTTGTAACATTGGGGGAGCCTCATTATTAAACAGCCTACATGTGATCTTTTATGTCCACATAAGATCATACAAGTTAGGAAAATGGCAAATAACTAAACTTTTATAAGAAGGAATTAGTATATTTTAATGACTAAACCTATGAAGATTTTGTCTGTCTGTACATGACTTTAATGGCAAATTCCTGAATACTGTTTCCATTTCTTAGATTCAGTTGTGGCTTTTTGCATTATTTTGTTGTCCCTACATTATTTGCTGAGAGTACTAGTCCTTCCTGAAATGCATTATCTAGAATGTTTTTCTAACTGTGCATCCTTTCTGTATTGATGTTCTTTTAATTTGTGTTCCTATATTTTGGTTTTTAGGTTGCTTATCAAGTGTCCCACAAATAAAAAAACTGTCCACATCTTATGAAGAAAGGAGGAAGCAGGCTACTGCGATTGTTTTACTTGGAGTCATCGGAGCAGAATTCGGGGCTGAAATTGAACCTCCGAAACTGCTGACTAGACCACGAAGCTCTAGTCAGATTCCTGAAGGATTTGGTTTGACGAGTGGAGGCTCCAACTACTCTCTGGCCAGACATACTTGTAAGTTTTAAATTTTCTGATACTGATCTATTGATTTTTAAGGCATATTATTTGTCAACAGAATGTCAGAATATTGAATGTATCTTGAGTTTCAGCTCATCTATAATGCTTAAGGGAAGTTAGAAAGTAGTTCAATGTTGGGTACATTGCTCTTTAGTTGTAATTACCTGAACTTCATTTTAAAAGTTAAAACTTGAAGTTGTCAATGCTTTTCTTAAAAGAACTTATTTGTGAGGTTTGTGTTCTTGAATTTTTGGTCAGGAATCTTCCCCCGAATATATGAAATCTAGCTTCATTTTCAAACTTATAAAAATTTCTGGAAAACTGTGTGACTTGCTTTGGCTAGAATTTGAAAAGTTGGAGATGGGGTGAAACAGAAATAAAGGGTGTGAGTGATCAGTGATTAATTACCTCTATAATTAAAAATTTTCCAAAGACAGTTGTAAATGACTAAACTATTCCTGTTAACTCTCTTAAGGCTGCTTTGTACATCAGTGTTACAGTTAAATGCTTGCTGTGGGAAGAGCAGGATTAGGATGCTTTATATAGAGATCTTTTTGTGCTTTGATGTTAAAACTCTTTCAGGTAAAGTCAAAGTATTCCCACCTTGTGGAAAAATCATTTCTAATGAATTTTGATATCTTTAAGGACCAATTATAATCCTAAATCTTATCATAAGATACTCTGTTTAAAAATAATTTTATTTGTGTGTGTGTGTGTGTGTGTGTGTGTGCGTACATGTGCATGGGGGTATTTGCAGAGGCCACAAGAGGGCGTTGGATCTCCTGGAGCTAGAGTTATTCAGAGTTGGGAGGTTCCTGATCTGGATGCTGAGAATCAAACTCAAGTCCTCTGGAAGAGCAGCAAGTGCTCTTAACCTCTGCACCATCTCTCCAGTCCCCACAAGATATTCTGGTAGAACAAAGCACTATGTATTTGGCAGGGGGAGGGGTTGACCTTCATGCAAAGGAAAAAGAGATATGCAACCTCACTAGTTATGACAAAAGAGCACTTCAGTGGACTCCTGTTTCATACTTTTGCTGTACAATGAAGAGCCATATTGGTGGCCTTTATTATAAAAGTCTGTCCACAGATTTAGCTGCTCCTCTATACCTTGTCTAAGATTTCTAATTCAACAAACACTTATTAGTGATAATCTCTTGTCATTGAGATCAGAGAGAAATAACACTACTACCACTAAAGCAACTAATTTGATCACTCTTTAAGCTCTTTACATTCATTAACTCAATCTTCATAATTAACCGTAGAACTTGCATGCCCCTGTCACGTGCCCGTCACCTCCATTTTACTCAGGAATCAAGGAACACACAGGCCAGTTTAGTTTAGCCCAGCTAAGATCATACCTCAATCTTGCCTGTTGTTTCTAGAGCTCATGCTTTGACCATTCATGATCTGAGGAAAAGATGGCTGAGTGATGAATATGCACTATGTAGCTGATCGTTGTTTAAAAAGCTGTCTTTTTTGTCTTCTCTTTTCTCCTCGTCTCCTCTTCTCTTCTTTGCTCTCTGCAAAGGACTTCATATTGCTGGCCCTGCCTCTCAGTTCTAGCCTGCTTACCTTTCCACAAGTTCTTCAAGAGCCCTGCTTTCCATCCATAAAACCCTGAGCAGATCGACAATTTACAACAAGAACTTTTACATGAGGTTTTTCTCTGTGCCACTCCTACCAGCTCAGGACTTAGACACATGATTCTTCTTTGAAACCTTGGCACTGGAATATTAGAAGTTAAGTAAATTTTTATATGAGTCGATCAGATGGCTTGCAGTATTTTTACTTGTCTCCCTAACAAATGGCAAGAAAGAGCTTATCCTTTGTGTATTTTTTTAATATTTTATTCATTATTTTTATTTTATGTGCATGAGTGTATTGCCTGCATGTATGTGAGTGCACCTGTGTTGTGCAGTGTCACAGAGGTCAGAAGAGGGCTTCAGATTCTCCTGGAACTAAGGACAGTTCATAGTCGCCATGTGGGTGCTGGGAATCGAACCTGGGTCCTCTGCAAGAGCAGTCAGTGTTCTTAACCACTGAGCCATCTCTCCAGCCCCCTCCTTTGTGTATTTTTATGTTGACATTATTAGTTAAAACATTTTCAGAAGTTATCATTTTGAGGATTTATAAATTTAAACATTGTGTGTTTAAAAGTACTATTCATTTTAATATATTAAGTATAATTTTTTTTTTTTGTCTTTTTTAAGACAGGGTGTCCTTTTAGCCCCAGCTGTCCTGGAACCCAATATGTAGACCAGGCTGGCCTCAAACTCACAAAGATCCGCCTGCCTCTGCCTCCCAAGTACTGGGATTAAAGGTGTGTGCCACCACGCCCGGCTAATATTTACTTTATTTAATATCTATTATCACTCATTTAAAAATATGTGAATAAGGACTGCTGCTCTTCCAGAGGACTGGAGTTCAGTTCCTAGCACCCATGTCAAGTGGCTCACAACCACCTGTGATTCCAGGTCCAGGGGATCCAGATGCCCATCTTCTGGTCTCCACAGGCACCCTCACACACATGCACGGACATATTGATATCCCCCACACACACATACACACACTAAATAAAAATAAAATACAGCTGAGGAGATGGCTCAGTGGTTAAGAACACTGTTTGCTCTTGCAGAGGACCTAGGTTTGATTCCCAACACCCACATGGCAATTAGCAACTGTCCTTAACTCCATTTCCAGGGTATCTGACATTCTGTGGACGTTGCATGACATGGGTGCACTTACACACATGCAGATAATACATTCATACACATAAAATAAAAATAATAAATTTTAAAAATTTAAAAATATAATGTATATCCTTTTAATATACTTTAATAGCAAACTTAAAGGATAGAACAGAAGACAGAAAACATGTACCTATGTGTAGGACAGCTCAGAAACGTATACTGAGTGGGTAGAATCTACTTTATGATCAAAAGGCCACAAACAGCATTTAGTTGCTCTCAGTAAGAAATTTACTTACTTTTTTAAAAACTCAAATGACTGAGTGTGGGGTACACACATTTAATCCCAACACTTGAGAGACAGAGGCAGGAGGATCTCTGTGAGTTCAATGCCAGCCTGGTCTATATAGTAAGTTCCTGGCTAGCCAGGACCACAGTGTGAGACCCTGTCTCAAAAAGCAAAGAAAAGTTAAAAATGGAAGAAAAGAAAAAGAAAATTCACATGTTGGCTTTGTCCAGAATTTTTTTTGGTCTTTTTGAGACAGGGTTTCCCTGTAGCCCCAGCTGTCCTGGAACTCACCATGTAGACCAGGCTGGCCTTGAACTCACAGAGATCTGCCTGCCTCTGCCTCCCGAGTGCTGGGATTAAAGGTGTGTGCCACCACGCCTGGCTTGTCGAGAAATTTTTGACAGTTATTTATAATTGTTATGAAGCTGAACTGTTGAAACTTGTTCACAGAAACATATTGACTTGCATTAATGCTTTATATCCCACATCTATATTAGAGATTCACACACACACAACAATGGAAAAATGGCCAGTACTTGATTTCGGCCTGTGTTTCAACTTGCAGTCCTATACTTAGGGACCTTTGGACCCCTTGGAAAAAATATCTAGCATTCTTCAGAACTTCTGATAATAGGAAGATGTGGAAAAATAATGTTTTTGAGAATATTAGATTCTTAAGCATGTGCTTCACATATGTAGCTTGCTAACTGGGTATCTTTGGGCACAGTTGTCACACTTCTGGTGTGTATTGCACAGACACTGGTAGCTTCAAAAAGGCCAACCAGATAGGCCTCGCTGCCTCCTTCAAAGTACCAATAGCTGCACTTTAGAAACACAGATCTGTTTTGAAATTCTGAGAAGTTGCATACACCAGACACTGGAAGGGGAGTTTGCTATTCAGAAGTTCAGTGGACTTCTGACCCCATCTGATTTCAGGGAGTGCCACAGTACCAGACCTGTAAGAATGTGGTCTTGTGAGTGGCTTTTGTTGCTTCCTGGGTGCTTGACCAGAGGTGGATTTGTTGGCAGTCTGCTTTGTAAGAGCCATGGTGTCCTTACCCCCATCTTTGGCTGGAGCTTTTAAGCAAGAGACAGCACTGCACTTAGAGAGTAGCAGTGCCTGTGAACACAATTCATAAAGTAAATCTTTTTTTAAAAAGTAAGAACGAACTTTCCTTTAAAAGTCAGAAATTGGGGCTGGAAAGATGGGTCAGTGGTTAAGAGCACTGGCTGCTCTTCCAGACCCGGGTTCAATTCTTAGCACCTATATGGTAGTTAACAACTGTCTATAACTTCAGTTCCAGAGGATCAGATGCCTTCTTCTGGCCTTCACGGTCATTGTACGACACGGGTACAACGTACATACATGTAGGCAAAAGACTCATACACATAAAATATAAATAAATAAATATTTGAGGTAAAAAATCATGTATTCCCTATTATTTTCCTTAAAGTGAGAAAAATTTTACCCTCACAGTTTTAGGGAAGGAGATCATTGGTTAATTGAACATCTATAAATGAATTTTTAAAAATTATGTGTATTCATGTTTGTCTGTGAGTGTACTCCACATGCGTGTGAGTGCCTGTGGGCTAGAAGGCTCCAGATTCCCTGAAGCTGGTATTTTGGGTGATTATTAGCCACATATATAAGTGCTAGGAACAGAACTGGGTCCTCTAGAAGAGCAGCCAAAGGTTGTAATCATGGAGCCTTTTTTTTTAACCCCTATAAATGAATTCTTTCAAGCTACTTGTATCTTCCATATATTTGTTCTGGGTGTGTTGGTATTACCTGTAACCTAGCACTGGATAGGTTGAGGCAAGAGGATGTGAGTTCAGGCCTGGGCAACAGACATATCCCTTGCCCCCTTGCTTCAAAAAAAAAAAAAATCATTTTTAAATGAGTATTTAATACCTTTTAAAACCTTTTCTTAAAGATCCTTAAGATGTTCTCATTTGCGGTTGGTAACCTACTGTGAAAATACTAACTCTATCCAACATTTTTTATAATTGTCTGTACT